TAAAATAAAACCTTCATTTTTAATATTTTTTTTCCATTTTAGCTTTTTTTTCAGGTCCAGAATTTCTATTTTATTGCTTTTTATAATTTCAAACTCTGAAAATACTATCTAGTTTTAAATAATTCTGCCATTTTCAAACATTCCTTTGTCCATAGTTTCCTTTATCTCTTTCACTATATATGAAACAGTTGATGTAAAATCTTCTCCTATTAAGTCCAACATACATGCTTCCACTCTAATAGTTTCTGATAATTTATTTTGTGATTGGCCTACACTTCTTTGTTTATTTGCATAACTTTTTTTAAACTGGCATTTCAAATATTATAATGCAGTAATTCTAGAAATAAGATTCTTCCCTCTCCTTCTCCAGAACTTTACTGTTGTTTTTTTTTCCCCCCTATGGGTTATAGCTGCCATTGCCTCCTCCTCCTCCTTCTTTTTATTAACTCTGAAAGTGGTATCTTTGTCTTGTGTAGTTTCTAAAGTCTCTGTTTATTTAGCCTGTGCTTAGCTAGTGTATAGGCAGAGATTTCACTGAATGCCATAAATGGGAAAAAAGGAAGGAAAAAAATTTAAACGAGGGAAAAATGCCACAGTTTATGGATTGGTCTTGTGTTGGAACACTATATAAATGTTGCTGCTAAGTTGTGTGGGCCCTCTCTCATCCAATGAGGAGGTCCATGGAACAGAGTAGAGGACAATGTGGCTGCGGAGTCACTAATCAAGAACTCTGGAGATCAAGTTGGGAGCAGGTCGTAGTTACTAATTTATATATACTCAGGCAGTAGCTAAACAGATTATAGAAAGCCACCAATACAATTTCTTGCCAACTGTCCTTCCAGCAACCAATCAAGGAATGGGCCATGGAGCAAGTGCTGTTACTGCAACAAGTAGTCTTACACCCTGGGCTGTACCTATGGGGTAAGCGGTTTGCTGCTCACAGGCCTAGCACGAGGGGAGTGGTTTGACACTCAGGCATCCTTAACTTATAGCATGTATGCAGTACTATATGCACTTGTCCCCACGTTTATTCAGGTTGTTTATAAATATGCCTTAGCCTTCACTTTCTTGTGGCGCTAAGTATACACATCAGCTAAAGGTAAGCACTTAGTGTTTTCTTAGAAGTTTTTTTCTGAATATACATCTTTCCCTGTGAATGCCTGTGGCTTTCTATATACTCTAATATATGCTATTTGAATGGCTCAATCTTTCAAAAACTATCTCCTCAGTTTTTTCTCCCTCCTACACTTTTGATGTATACGTTCAATTTTTGCCTCTACCATATATATTAGTTTTCGATGAACCTTTATTTTATTTATTTATATGCTGTGCTCAGAATTGAACCCATGGCCTCACACATGCTAGGCAAGCGCTCTACAAATGAGCCACAACCCCAGCCCCTCTACCATATTTTTTGACACAGTTTTTTTTTTCTTTCACCTTGCAATAATTTCGAGAATCACCTCTGAAGAGTCACTTTTACACTCTGTATAATTCTCATTTAGGCAATTCAAAAGCAACTGCATTTTGTCAGTACTTAACACAACCCCAAACAGGCTAGAATATGCAAACATAATTTTTAGAGATTAAGGTCTTTTCTGCTTCCTCTGGAAATAGGATGTAGGTTCTAATATTATTTGGATGTGGTTTGAATATGTTCCCCAAAGGTTCATTTGTTTGAAGTTTGGTCCCCAATGTGCTATTGTTGAGAAGTGGTGAAATTTTTGAGAGGCAGAGCCTAGTGGAAAATAATTAGATTGTGAGGGTACTGTCCTAAAATGGAATTAATGCTGGTCTTCTGAAATGGATTAGTTCTTCGAAGATTATGTTTTTATAATCTTAGAAGAACCCCAAACACTTAAGCTTTTCTGAGTGTGGATAATTCCCTTTATGATTTTCTGCTGTGTTTTGACACAGTCAGGAAACTGGCACCAAGTTCTTGGGCTTCAAGAACTGTGAATTAAATAAACCTTCTTTTTATATGAAGAACTCTGTCTCTAGCATTTTATAACAACACCAAATGGAATAAGACTGAGTTCCCCATGAAATTGTCAGTTGATCTCTAAGATCAGTACAGAGATGTGAAGATGAATGGAACAAGGTCAAGTAAAAATGTCACAAAGATTTGTTATTATTTTTAAGTTGCCCTTTTCTAATTAACAGTTTGCTTGGTGGCAATGAGCCTTCGACTAATTTCCAGAATTCTTGCAAAGTAAAATTGGATAGTTTTTCTTGATTTTTCTGTCTTTGTAGAGGTGCATGTCATTTAACTGCCTTTGTTGCATATTATCTGACATCACTCAATCTGTTGGAATTTCCATTTTTATTGCATTAAATCTACAGATCATTTGGAGAGAACTGATATCTCAACAATAGAGTCTTAAATCATGAATATGGTATATATTATATCTGTCTATTTTTATGTCTTCTTTATTTTGGTAATGATTTTTTCAGTGTACAATTTTTACATATATTGATGCTTTTGTAAATGATATAATTTTAATTTTTATATTACTTTTTAAAAACATTTTTAATTTTTTTAGTTGTAGATGGACACAATACCTTTATTTTTCTTTTATTTTACTTTATATAGTACTGAGAATTGAATCCAGTGCCTCAAAAATGCTAGGCGAACCCTCTATCACTGAGCCACAACCCCATCTCCTCATATTACTTTTTCCTAAGTTATAGAAAAAAACTTTTAAAAATATTGATATTGTATTTTATAATCTTGCTAAGATCACTTATTTATTTAAAAAGAATATTTTTAATTACATAAAATATTCTATATAGATGATGATTTCTTCTTCAAACAACTGAGAAAATTTTAACACATTTTTTTATCATCTTCTGCAAGCATTTCAAACTTTTTTTTTTGTCTTTATTACACTGGCTAGAACTTCCTGTCAGCTTTATGTAAGTTGTTCTTTTTTTCAGCACAAAGTTGTTCACACTGTTCCCTTATTATTAGTTACTATATAATTATATAATATATATAATATACATAATATATAATTTCTATATAATTTATAGTGATGTCATGTATTCTCTTATCCTTGATAAACTTGAATAAAGATTTATTAATTTTAATGACCCCACAGAGCAAGTTTTTGGTTTTATTGATTTTCTCTGATTTTTCTATTTTCAATTTAATTAATTTCCACACTGGTCTTTATTTTCCCTTTTTGGTATTTTGATTTTCAGTTGGTCACTTGATTCCTAGTTTCATATGATAGAATGTATACTGGTTCATTTTAGATATTGTTTCTATTCTGTTAAAGGTGCTTAATGCAAGAAATTTCTCTGTAAATATGGTTTAATGGCCATATATATATATATATATATATATATATATATATTGTTTTAAATTTAATTTGTTTCAAAGTAATTTATATTTTCCCTTATCATATATTTCCCAAATTACTTATTTATTAGTGTGTTCTATTCAATTTCTAAATATTTGGTTATATAATTTTTATGTTGTTAATTTGGAATTTAATTCCACTGCCACCTGAGAATACATATTATTACTTGGATACTTTTAATTTATTGAAATTTTATTAATGGCTTAAAATATGATGTATCTTGGTAAATGTTCTATGTACTTCATTAAGGAAAGTGTATTATGTTTTTGTTGGATGCAGTGACCTACATATGTCAATTAGGTCAAAGTAACTAATAGTGGAATTCACATTTTCTCAATTGTTGATTTTCTGGTTATCCAGTGCATCAGATGTTGAGAGAGAGAGAGAGAGAGAGAGAGAGAGAGAGAGAGAGAGAGAGAGAGA